GGCCATTCTACACGACGTCGCTTCGATCTCCCAGCTTCGCTCCACCGTCGCCTCCGAGATCCGCAAGAACACTCACGTCACCAATCCCAAAGTAATTTCCATTTCTTATTAGTTTTTACACATGTCTAAGGCAGCGTTTGGGAGTTTTTTTTTATTATTTCACTTTTTCATTCACCGCCACTTTAGTGATAGAGGATAACGGAGTTGATTTTATTCGGAACATTATAATTAATTACGAATTTTCTGATTATTTCGTATTTTAAAAATTCCGTTGAGGAATTGATGAAAACATCGAAATATGTGAGGGTTTGTGGTTGATTGTTAGTGGAAATGTGAATGAAAATAGAAAACGTTGTTGGCGTATAAGATAAGCGTGATTGCGTTCTCCAACATTGTGTTCCTTCCGATATTATTGAATTTCTTGTTGTACGGGAACCGTTGCAAATGTTGATTCATGGCCCCCTGTTTTCACGTAAATGTTCTTTCGGACACTTTAGGTTAAATGGATGGGGAAATTCTTGGGGATTTGACTCGAGATTTAATTCATGGTTTGTTCTGCAAATTATATATAGGGTGTTTGTTTGATGCATTTGAATTGGATTTAAGGTCGAGGAATTCTTTAAGAGAGGATTTATCGAGTTATTTGAATGGATATTGGATAATTTGTCGTGGCGAATAATATCTCTGTTAATTTGGTATTTTTTAAGAGCAAAACAGAATTCTGAAATCATACTCGGGAGAATACAATATGTACCCCCATACAGAGTATAAAAGATACAAAAATTGTGTAGCAGCACAAATCACATGCCCTGAAACACACCTAAGCGGCGAAGACATGCCTTAAAACACATTAAAGTCTCCCAATAAGTGTGTTTTCTAATGATAATTATGATATAAATCCAAGCCCTACCTTTTCCAAACCTGAGAGACCTTGTAAGTGCAGTACCTATATCACCACACCATGCCAACACTCACCAATCCCCCTATGAACCCATTTAACCAATCACTCCTAGGCAACGGAATCTAGTTCCAAGAGCCAACTGAGTGATTGAACACCTTCCTTCTCGCTAACAACCAACTCCAAACTTTAATCTTTGTTGAATCTACAATTCGATGTAGCTCCAACTGATAATTTGTTTTTTACTTGAGCTTAATAGCTTCGTGTTATGTGGTCCATGTAGTTGACCTTACCTAGTGAGAATAGGTTATTTTTGTTGTATTTGAATGGGTTAAGATTTTAGTTGCCTATTGGTAATGGGGTACCTTGAACGTTGAAGTCATGTCTTTGCTTTTGGAAGTTGAAACATGTTTTACGAAAATTCTTGTGTATGCTATTTAGTGTTCTTCAATCATTGAATACACATTGCAAGAGTGAGTTGAACTATGGGTTTTTGTGAGCACAATGTCAGCAGGTATTTAAAGCCTCTTGATATTTTGGTGAATGGTTTTTACTTTTGTAAGTTGTGGGCGCATTGCTTGGTTAAACACTTGGATAATATAGAGTTTTCTAATTGGTAGTTAAGTGAATTTTCTCTTCCAATAATTTATGTATTCCAATACTTTGGTTTAGTATGTAGGATTTCCTAGTTTTAGAATTGAGTTGTATAATTTTCCAGTGGATTAAATGATATGCAGTATAACTGAGCCTGCAATTGTTTGATCTGATGTCGTCTTGTCAAATTTCAAGGTGAAGGTTATAGTTTTGAATTTATCCATGTCTGGATGGAAACATGTGAAAACATAGGGTGCGTTTTGCTGATATGTAATTTGATTAATGGTGTCCAAATTTTTTAGTTTCTTAGTCGACAAACCATGAATAAGTTGATTCAACCATATTTGGTGTTCTTAGTTGGCAACCTGTGAATAAGTTGTAGTGCATTGCCAGATGCTGGAACAGTATGTTTTAGTTGTCGGAAAATAACCATTTATTGTTATTGTGATTATCTTTTATTTCATGTCATGTTTAATTTTGCTATACTTCAGCAAATTGAATTTACTTTCTTTTGTAGAACACATTTTTAAAATATTTTATGCCTACTATGTAACGACTTAGTTACTGTCAGAAGTCATCTGCTTCCTCCTTTGATCCTTAGACATGAAACTTTTAAGCATGAATTCATGATTTTCTGTTCTGGGCTCAGTGCCTCTTCCCTTCAATGGAAAAACCATATCTTCTACTTGCCCATATAGGTTTTATTCGAATTTGGTTCTGTACGCCACAGATTGAATGCATCAAGGCCATTAATACATTCGAAAGACTTTGAAAATTTATATCTATGAAAGATTTATGAATATCACTAATATTTGTGGAAATTCAGGTGATTGATATGCTGCTTTTCAAGGGGATGGAAGAGCTGAAGAACGTTGTGGACCATTCAAAGCAGAGGCATCATATCATTGGTCAGTACGTAGTTAGACAGCAAGGGCAAGGGCAAGTGGAAGGCTCAAAAGACCATGGCATATCTCCTTTTCTGAAGAATTTCTACAACGGCAATTACTTCTGAAGTTTGGTCATGAGCTGTTCCTGTTTCCCCAAATAAAGAATAATTTTAAAATGTTTTGTATGTCAATACTGGATGAGATAATACTTTTGGTTTCAGATCAAACTGTTGCATTCATTCTTCCTGGCTTAATTAAGAAAGTGATGTTTTGCTGATTGTTGTGTAAGTGGGCACACTGCTAAAAATATTGTGGCGTATTAACTATTTGACGTCATTGCAGATGAATATATTGCCGTAGCATGTCTGAGAAATAATAATGTATTTTGGTAAATGCCATGGTATTAGGTCACTACAATATGCAGGCACTACTGGTTGTTCATAGAGGATTCTGTCATTGCATTCCCTGTACTTTCTTCCTTTTAGATCTGCCAGCAACTAATTCATTTAATGACAGCTTTGGAGCAAAGGGTCCTCAGAAACGGAATGAAATCGATATTTGTTTGAAGGACAACGGTTTTTGGTGAGTTTTATACTATTACAGGTTGAAGAGAGGATCAAATCATTTTGGATACATGTATTTAATACAACACAAAAGCGATGGGGATAGAGATATATGAAATTCTAAAAACTTTATGATTGGCTACGGTCTATGAATATTACCACGGGGCAAAAGAAACTAGGTGATCATAACAAAAACCTAGCTTGATTCAATCAGTGGATGATAATCACAATTTACAAAAACGTAGTTCATAGAAAAAAGGATAAAAAAAGGTTGCTTGACAATTGGAGGATTCTTTTTAAAATTAATTACGTAAATATGGTTGTTTTGAAATTATAGTGATACTAGTGCCATGTGTAATATTTTTTTCTATAAGTCATGAAAGTTATGTTATAAAAGTCGTCACAGTTGGTAGCACTTTACCTAAAGTTGTTACGGCCAGTAACAACACATAATAACTTAATGTTATATATATGAAGTTGCTACAATAGCTTAATGTTATATATATGAAGTTGCTAAAGGCTATATTGCCTAGGATTTTTTTATATAAAATAATTAAATAAAATCACTACGAGTTATAACGATACTAATTAATTATTTTTTTAAAAATTTATTTAAATTTTTAGTATATTACATTTTTAAAAAATTAAATTTATTTAATAATTTTTAAGACTAACATAAATTGTTAAAAATAAAGAAAAAATAAATTCATTTTACTGAATTATTTAATATAAGAAATATAATCATAAAATATATAATTGTAAATATAAATATAATAAAGTAAGTAAATTTTTTATTAACAAGAAAATATAAATTTTCCATAAATTATTAAATAAATAAAATTATTTTATAAATATTAATTAAATATATTAAATATAATGTCGTTATCCTCCCTAGCGACACATTTTTTTAAATTTATTTTATATAATACGTAAAAATATTATAAATTTTAAAATATTAATTTATATTTTAAAAATGAAGGTAATATAATTTGAAAAAAATAAATTTAGAAATAATTAAATAATTTTATTTGTATGAAGTTGTTATAAACTATAACATCTATATTTTTTTATAAAAAAATAATTGTTATAAATAATAATTAGTGGCTTAATTAGTGGATGTTAATATTCACTATTCATCATTATCATTTATATTTCTGTGATGTATTATTTTCTTTTTATGTAATTGTTTAGCTAGCTGTCAAAATGAGCCAGCTTGGCCCATTTGACCCGGCCCACCTCAACCCACTTTTTAAGTGGGTTGACCTGGCTCGGCCCACCAAATTTATTATGCAAATATTTCTAGCCCAACCCAACCCACCACGGGTTGGTAGGCTAAACGGGCTGCCCCACCAACTCACTTAATTTTAAAAAAAATATAATTTAAAATAAATTTTAATATAAAATAATCTATAATCTAGAGTAAAAATTATCAAATTAAGTATCATGGATACAACATTAAACTTAAATTAAAAAGTGTATAATCTTAAACAATCAAAATAAAAAAAATAAAAATCCTTTCATGAGAGTGATTATTCATCAATATTAAATTTTATTAGAGGTTGAGGTAGATAAATTTAGCAATTTCATATTGTTTAACATTAATTTTATCTTTATCTATAAAAAAATAATATCTTATTAAAATAATACATATATAATAATAAATAGTTAAATGAGTTGTTAGTGGGTTGTTAATGAGTTGTTAGTGGGTTAGGTTGATGGGTTGATAAGTGGGTCAGGTGGGCAGCCCGGCCCACCACGGGTTCAACCCGGGTGGGCTGGGTCACATTTTTTGACCCATCATAAATTTTTTCATTTTTTTGGCCCAGCCTGCCATGTTTTCAAGGTGGGCCGGGTTAACCCATGGGCTAGAGCCCACTTTGAAAGCTCTAGCTACTAGATGTATTTATAAATAGGTTAGTCATCTCCCAAAGATAATACATCAGTCAGATTCTTTTCTCTATCTCATATTGTCTTGTTTGTTCTTTCTAGTTTTTCTTTCTTTTATAACACGTTATCAGCATGATAGTCTTTCCTTAATTGAAGTTAACACAATGGTCTTTTCTCCATTGATGTTGCAATATATAAGATAAAGATGAGAAAAAAAATTATCAAAGAGAGTCATATTTTTTCAAATTCATATTTCAAGGTTAGATATTTTATTGTTATTCATATTCTATCTTTAGTCATATTCTTCACATTATTTATTTCATCGAATATTTGTATTGTTCATATCATTGTGAAATTTAAATATAATTGGTCTTGAAGACAAAATCATGAAAATAGAATTATAAGAACATTTTTATGATGGTCTAGAGAAGACATTGTAAAATAAAGAAATTTTAAGAATACTTTTTGCTCATCGAAAATGGGAAAATTGTGCAACAATGAAAATAAAAGATTTTTTTTTCACCTAAAGTGATAAAATAATATGAAAAGTGAATTTTCACCGGAAGTGGAAAATTTTTCCAAAATGTGAAAAAGAAAAGGATAGATAAAGAAACAAATATGATATAAATATTATGTTTGATTCTTTGATATAAATAAGAGTACTACCGGAAGTGGAATAATTTTGTCAAGGTCATTGTTGCAATATTAAATGATATTTGGGTAAATTATAAAAATTGTGGATAGTGAAGCGAGCCCTAAATCTTTTTAGGTTTATGTGTGATTTCTTGAAATGGATATGATTTCTCTACTTTTATAATTTGATATTATTCCTAATTGAATTGGCTAAAATAATTGGCATAGTATGTGGTTGAATATGCGTGTTGTTCTATTAAATCTTAAAGAGTTTGTGACACCCTCTACCCCAACATACATATACAATAATTATAAAAACATATTCTTGGGTTAAGTAAAATCTTTAGAATTAAAACAATGGTTCCATTAACATAAGAGTAGTGAATTCACATTCGTAAACTTAAAACATGGTCAAATGCGAAATTTACAGAAAAGTGAAAATGAGTTTTTTCAAAAAAAATAACAATAATGAAATTTTAAACTAAGCCTAGTTATGCCCCGATGTTACATATCCTATCAGAGCATGCCTAATTGAAGCCTAAGCCTCATCACCAACATCCTCATGCTGATGATCACCTGCAATACAATTTAAACACATACAAAGAACAAAAAGGGAGTGAGAAATATCTCACTTAGTTTCAGGTGTAAAAGTAATAGTTAGGCAACACACACAAATCATAACAAGCACAACCATAGTTACACATTAATTAGGTGAAAATTCAAATTATACATACAACAGTAACAAATGCATAGTCATTCATCATGCAATGATATTATGGACTCGACTCATAAATGCATGCATGTGGTGCTAGTCACATATCACATATCACTGGTGTGCTGCCTAAACAACACACCTAAGGTAGTCTAGGAGTACATGTAGGGAGCTACCCATACATTCTCAACTAGAAGGATGTACTGCTATGGTCTAATCAAGATAGTGAAGCTGCGCAAGTCATGTCTCATGCTCACAAACGGGCAGAATCGAGACATCTAAACCACACTATTCCCTAGGACTCCCCTAAGCTATTACATAAGGAGGGCCTTCCTTAATGGTGTACTCCATATCGTACCCTTCACATAGATGCACATGATGCATGTCACACATATTTACACTTTATGGATTTATCACTTTACTTGTCATAGTTCATCATATATCATGTCTCATTGTCACATATCATATTTCATATCTTATATTCACTTTTCACATTATCTCATTTCATCACGTTTCACATTCTCATAGTCATAATGTTCACAATAGCACGTCATTCACATCATGTCTCATGTGATTTATTCACATTTCACATAGTCATACTCATAATTGTTCCATATAGAGTTTCGCACAGGAACCCACAGAGCATTCTAATTCATATCAAAACTTATCTAATTTTGAAATCAAACACATATTTACACTAAACATCACACAAGGAATGCAACAGAACATTCAGAAAGCAAAATAGAAAACATTCATATTTTGTCTATTTCTCATAGGGTTCCTATAGGAACCCACCGAACACTCTAATTCATATTAAAACTTATCTATTTTTTAAATTAAACACATATTCACACCTAGAAAACATCAAGGAACACAATAAAACAATTAGAAAGCAAAACAGAAAACTTTCATATTTTTCCTGTTCCTAGAAGCATGCATCAGGCAAGGGATTGGGGGCCAATCCTGCTACCCAAAAATTATTCCCACACCCCGAGTGAGGTTTCTCACTCCCCCTTACCTAGACAAGCAGAAGATGAAGCTAGAGAAAAATCTGGTTGATCTTCTTCTCTTGGTTCTCCTTGGTCTTCAGAGTGTGTCCAAGAGCAGTAGAGTCTGCTATTTATAGATGTCAAAAGTGGCCAGAACGGCCCGTTTCAGATCTAGAACGACCCGTTCTAGATTCTTTCATCATGTGTTAAATTCACATCTGGAATGACCCATTCTTAAACCAAAACGGCCCATTTTGGAGTTGAGTTTAACTCATAACGACCATGTTTGGAACGACCCGTTCCCAAAGTGGAACGACCTGTTCTAGGTTCAAATTTTACTAATAACAGCCTGTGTTGGAACGACCCATTCCAATCTAGGATTTATAGGCCTTTTTAGTAGTTTGGAACGGTCCGTTCCAGTTTGGGAACGGTCCATTCTGGGCTACTAAATCACCTTTATTGGGCTTTGAGTCTTCATATAATTTGTGAAAATCAGGGTGTTACAGGGTTTGACTTCAAATTCTATTGGTAGAATTGATATTATTTGTTTTTATAATGTTATGCGTCTATTATTTTAATTGACGGAGATATCATTCAGTTATAATTTGA